CTTAAAATCTGCATTGCATCTTCAAACTGCCAAGAACCCTTAGCTTAGAATCAGGGTGTACACACACACATGCATGCATGCATGCATGCATGCATACATGTATGCATGCATGCATACCGACGTACGTACATACATACTACGTACATAAATACATGCATACGAGCACATACAACTATTGCAATATCAACCGATGTCCTAGGTCCTAGATGAACAGTGATAAACATATACAACCATATGCATGTACACACGCTGTTATTATGTGTATGTGTATATAAGTATATGGATACAGAACAAACAAACAAACATACAATCAAATTAACATTATCAAGCAAACACAAAACAAGCAAACAAGCAAGCAAGCAAGCACGCAAGCAAGCAAGCAAGCAAGCAAGCAAGCAAAGAAACAAACAAAAACAAAACAAACAAACAAAAACAAACACACACACACACACACCGACCGACCGCGATGTGAGCTTGGGTGTGCTCCGGCAACTTGGGGATCAATTGGAAATCATGTTGTGTGATGAGAAGGCCACGCAAGCTCTCATCGAGGGCGGTGCGGACATCAACTTGGCCTCCCAGAGCGGGTGTGTCGCACAGTGTCACACAGGGTCCACAGTCGCTTCCATGTATGTTCCTGTGCGGCAACGTATCCCAGGCGCACGCCACTGATGTCGGCAGCTTCGAACGGGATCAGTGATATGGTGCCTTGACTGTTGGTTAGCCTCAATGCATTGAGGGTCTGCAGCTGCACAAGGGCACGAGGAGTTTTCTGTTGCGCTCCGAACAGGTCAAGATCCTGCTTGATGCCGGGGCAGACGCCAAGGCGGGGCTGAAAAGTCCTTGACGCAGCTCCAAAGCACGAGACGACCCTATCTGCCCGTCCGTGACCAGTTGAAGAGCGGCGGCCTCACAGCCTACGACATGTCGCTTCGAGGTGGAGCGACAGGCCCGCATGAAGAGCCTAGCGTATCATAGCGGCCACTCTCGAGATTGGGGCCCGGGCCACGATGACTCGGCGACAGACTGCGGACCGCGTGCAGGCTGCGAGGATTGCCGGAAGCTGCTCTTGGAGGCGTCCAGCTGAGGCACGCCCGCACAATTTCAAGCCAGGTTCAATCCGGCACAGTGCCCAAAGAGTCGACAGCCCTTGCTGAACTTCACTAAGTCAGTGCCGGTGCCGGGGCCTGGTGAAAAGCTTTCGCACGGAAAGCGCGTTTGAAGTTGCTTTTGAATGGTCGGAGCCTCGGGAAGTCCGTGACAAGAGGACAAGAAGTACCATTGCTCTTCGTGGGCTATACTGGGGTAGAGATTTTTTGGTCCCAGTGGATCCCAGAATACCGAACCCAGCGGCAGCTTTGAACACGGGCTTCTCTGGGGGCTTGGGCCGCAACAGGCACGAAGCCCTCGTCTCGGCCTTTGGCCACGGGTTTCACGGTATGTTTCGCAGACTTAGGCGTGGCAACGATCGGAGCGGTAGGAATGCCACGACCGCTAGGAAGAGACGCCTGCAGCGTCAGCGGAGAGAAATGCCAGCTGCCCGATTCCATGCCGACGCGTGGGCACAAGCGACAGTCAGTGCTTTCAGGGCCCCAGGGCTTTTTGTTGCGAGGTGATGTCTGCACTCTACACCCAGCTAGCCTGAGAACAGCTGCCCGGCCGGCAGTCTGGCTCCCACAGAGATCGGGGCCTCCACCCTCCAATGTCCGGCATGCTCTAGCACCAGGCTGCGGTTGTCGTGTGGGCCCGGGTGCAAGGCATTGCAAGGAGTGCCATTTTGGGCTTGTAGTATGCCGGTAGTAGCCTACTATTAGAGGCTTCGTCTTCAATCGTCATTGGTCACTCTCCCACTCATGACGTACGTATGACCATCCCAGCATGCTGCTGAGAGACATGCCAGGGTAGTTGTGGGAACAGCACATTTGTCTTTGCAGGGATGAACTTCGGGTGGACCGAGTCCGAGACGCCGAAGAGGGGACTCTCCCGCCTCTTCTCGAGGAGGCCGGCGTCGACTTCGCATGTCGTGCAGTTTGGAAACGGCGCCTTCGCTTTTCCCCGAGGAAGCCCAGCCAGGGCCACTCCGGGCGCACGCCGCTTGCCACGTTGGCGGCGCCCTCTCCTTCCTTCTTTGGTGGGAGGAGGTCCCCAGAAAGCGACCCACTAAACACATATACTAAACATAGTCGCAGTGAAAGCCATGTCAGGAGGCGGACGAGCAGCGTGGAGGACGGCCTGGAGCTGGACGAGATCTCTGATGCCACCCAGCGCGGGCGGCCGCGGCGGCGCAAGAACCTGAGCTGCCTGGGCATCTTCGCCTGCGGATCCTCGGCTCTACCTCGATCGGGCTCCCTGGAACCCGGGGACCCGGAACAGGCCCAGGCCATCACCCCGGCGCCGGCTCCCTGTCGGGGAGCCTGGAGCGGCGCCCTGCCGGACCGGAAGCCTCGCGGGAGTCTGGTGGAGCAGCTGGGCTTCAAGAGCCGGGTGCTCCGGTGCAGCAGTGCTGGGAGTCTTTGTACTACCTCCAGGCGATCCCGCAGATGGGTGATTTTCTTTCGTGATGGGCCTGTTACTGTCTCTGTGCGGCTTGAGTCGTTGGAGTTTTGCAGGGCACTGCGACTCGGAAGCCAAGTTGCCGCGTCGTGTGAGGATCGTAGACAAACAGACCTTGCCGTTTCAGGATCCTGGCTTGAACCTACTGTATACCTATTGCCAGCATGACCAGGCGAGAGGCGCGGCGAGAGACCAGGGCAGAGACCTTGGCCACCCAAACAGACCAGCGCCGCTTGAAGCATTTCATCTTGTCGACACCTTGATGTTCAGAGAGGGGCCCGACATGCCTACACGGCCCTACACCTACTAAACTCCGAAGAGAGGAATGGATGTAAGATACTTTCGCCTTCCGGGACCGCTGTGTTTGAGGCACTCCCCAGAGCCTTGATTTGCTGCCCTGAAGCTCAGCTTTGTGGGTGGAGCCCGGCTGAGGGCAGAAGCTTAATTTTGGGCGGAGGGTTTAGGGTGTTTAGGGTCTTGGCATGTCTTGGCCCAATGTGAAACTTGCAGCACTATTCTGAGGAAGCAGGCTGATCCCACTCAACCCAGGACTGACTCGACAACGGCTGGTTCGGGTCTGTCCAGATGGGTTTGGGGTTATTGAGGCCCATCTGTGTGCTCATATGTGCTCATGCTTCTTTTTCAAAGAACAGCTGCGGGTCCCGCCAGGGGTGAACACGTGACAATGTTGGCTTTGTCAACCTGAGATCTAAGTGTTAGCTGAGGACGTCCGTCATGGAGCAATCATTGTGCTGCGTGTGCCAGTCACTGCAGGAAACGACCTGCGACCACCCTCTAGTGACGCCATCTTGCAGGAGAGCAGTGTGAGAGAGGGAGGTGGCGTGCATCGTAACACTTCAAGGGTGTCGGGAGATAGCTTGCAGTTGACCTTTCGCCACGCCGGCCAGACAGGCGCTACGCCGATATGCTACAAGCCCTGTCCAAGATCTGAAGGAGCTGGAAAGATGTCGCATGCGGCTGGAAGATGTTCGGATTCCTTCGCCCGCCTGGGGCCCGTCGACTTTTTAATAAAGTTGTGGTGTTCCTTTTCACCTAGGGTTGAGGGCTTGGAGCGAAAGACAATCTGAATTGGCGGCTCTTTCAGCATCCATCACAGCATTGCATTTGGCTCATGGGCTTCATCTGCCTCAAGTTGGGGATGTTGTGCTCGGGTCTGGAAAAAAGAGGTAGCCGGATATTTGTTCACAGCATGATGCGATTCGATCTCAGGGGTGAAGCAATCGACAGCACCGGATTCGCTTTTCTGTGAACCCCACTCAACAGATATTGTCTGCATCGACTCCGTTCTTCAATGCTGTGCAGTTTCGAAGTTGTGTTTCAAAAGCTACGTTGATCCCTGTTGCAGAATTAATGGATCCGTGGGTTTTTTTACATGAATCTCTCCAGATAAAAGCGGGTGAGACTCATAACCGCATAAGTTTCACCCACACCCACTGATCCCGCTTGGCGGAATTCGTTTGACGCTCCTTTGCTTTGGTTAATCTTTGGGTGGGGCTTATCTTTCCTTGTCTTGCCCTGGCCACCCCTCCCAGGCTGCCACACCACTCCAGTGTGGTGCCCAGCATGTTGACACGGTGAGAGTGTAGCAGCTGGCAAAGAGGATCCGATGTGCAGAAGATAGCGCTGTGACGCGGCAGCCCGTACAGTAGCAGAATCATTTAGCTCTTCGTGACATGCAGGTCGAGGCCATCCTCATCCATGCCGGTGCCCGCCTGGGTGGAAGCACCGTTGTAATTGTTCGGGGCTGCAAGTCCTCGTATGCGGGTGGGGTTTTAAGGTGGGGTGCAGCTGCTTGAAGATTTGTTGGTGCTATAGTGTCGAAGCTATGTGCCGCGTTAATCTTGTGACGAGCCTGACTTGCTCAGTAGTCTGTAGAGGCAGCCGCAGTCCGGCACAGAACGCAATGGCTGTTGTCATAGTCAAAATGCGTGCTCGGGCACGAAGTTTCGCGGCACTGAACGCCGTTCAGACACCTCTCCGAGGTGCCTGAAGATGCGCCCTCCCCCGAGCAACTTCCGTCGCCCGCGGCGCTGAGGCTTGCTTTGAAGTATGGGAAAAATTCACCCTTTGCTGAACAAGAATTTAGGAAATATGTTTCAGTTTTTCAACAAGGTGCGACGTCAGGGCCCCAGAGTGTCTGCAGATTTGGAGGCTCGCAGGAAATGTTTCTTATTTACCCTAAATAAATGCTTGCATGGAGCTCAACACTGGTATACTACCGCTAACACCTAACCGAGCAATACATGTTACTTATGCGGAGCTCAGAAGCGAATCGTAAATTTGTAATTGCTAGCATTATCCCGACACCCTGCAATCATAAACATTAAAATTAAAACCCTAAACCCTGCAGGCTAACAACAACAAGCTGCCCCCGACCCAGGCCGGCCCCCGACGGATTTCTCCACCAAAATCCCACATCAAGTAAGTCGCTGAATAACTAGCAGTACTATCCCCTCATGGTCCCTATATAAACACATAAATACATAAATATATACATATATATATACACACACACACACATATATATATATATATATTCTTAATCATACTCTGCACTTCAGGCCCCTACATAAGCACCTTAGACCTCGCCTAGAGCCGTTTGGAGCCTGCGATTACCCCTAAGCCCGACGCCTTAAATATTCAAACTTGAAACCTTAAGTACCTAAACAGCCCTAAAGCCCCAACCTTGAATAGCCCTAAACCCAAACCCTGAACGGCCCTCCTGAAGGAATCTGGGCCCCAACCCTGCCAGGCTCCGCACGCCCGGTGCATCGCCCTCCGCCACTCTTCCAAGGCCGCGTTCGGAGAAGGCCTGGAGCGGGAGCTCTGCTAGTGAATTGCTGGATTCAGGGTTTTAATTTTATTCAGGGTTTCGAGTGGTTAGTTTTGTAGAGTAGAAGGCAGCAAACGCTACGAGAGAGCGGCGTCGGTATGTAGATGGTGGCGGCTGTGGTGGTGGTGGTTGGTGATGATCGTCGTCGCTGCAGCAGAAGCAGCAGCAGCAGCAGCAGTTCCTCTGTTCTACCGGCTATACTCCCCAGCCGCCCGAGTCTCGGAGCATCAGCTAAATGCAAATAGTGATGCTGCGTAGAATGCCAAGCTATGCTACTGTCAATAATGAAATACGGTAGCATGGGTTGAATCGTGTCGGACTGGAACAGAATAGAGCACGGCATTCAGAGTTTGGGCTCCATCGAAAGTAGGTGTGTTTACAGTCTTTACGAACAGACACACACACACACACGCAGAGACATGAAAGCACACAAGTGCGTGCATGTGTATGCATATATATATATATGTATATATATACATACATACATACATATCTGTAATCACATACCTGCATGCATACATACATACATACATACATACATACATACATACATACGTACATACATACATACATACATACACGTATATGTGAGTAAATACCGATGTATAGGAATACATATATACATATACATGTATACATACATACACATACCGACATACCTGCTTACATATTCAACTCATTGTTTGGCTTATGCGAGGTTGCTAGTTTGTTTTCTTGCGTGCCTACGTGCTTTATTTTCGTGCTTTTTTGTTGTGTGTGTGTGTGTTTGTGCTTGTGTGTGTGTGTTTGTTTGTTTTGTTTTTGTTTGGTTGTGCACGTGTGCATCAAGTGACAAACTCGTTCGACGATGTTACCTCTCGAGTTTGCCCGGTAGTGCGGCAGCAGCTTCAAAAGTTAGCCTCCTCGCGCAGCCATGTCCGGAGCGGAGCCTGTGGATGCCCCGTCCGATGCCGGACACACTTGGGGCGAGGCCCGCGCAGAGGACGCAGGCGATGGAGCCGGCGCTGGAGGCTCTCGTGCCCGTTCGAGGCCTGGAGCCGCTGCCGTGCAGATGGCCGTGAGGGTCCTCACCGAGGCGACCGAAGACATGGTGATGGACACTTTGGAGGACGTGCGCCTTATAGCACGTGCCCGCTTGGCAGCCCTGTTCGCGCAATCGGTGGCGGAGGGGCACCAAGCTTATGACGACGACCCGGTCGTGGGCCCTGGTGCCTTCTACGACTCTGCCTTGCTTGCCGCGAACCTGTTCCCGGACGATGTCGTGGACCAGGCCTTGGCGCAGAGTGCTCAGGATGGGGGCGTTGTGGACTCGTCCGACAGCATCTCCGACACGCCTCCCGAGGGCGCCCCGGCAGAGAAGGCGGCTCCCGTTCAGCAGGCGCCGGTGGCAACGACGGCAGCCTGTTCGCCACCGCCGCTCTCCAAGAAGGCTGTATACAGCGAAGGCGCCGAACCGCAGCAGCTCCACCCGCGTGATGCCCGTCAGCCCAAGGCTTCGGACGCAGTGGTGGCGGTCGCACCACAGGTCTTGAAGGTGGAGGTGACAGTCCCGGCCGAGTTCCAGGACGTGATCGCCACCGAGACCTACACCAACGACCCCGTCCTGGTCGCGCCCAAAGGAGGTACTAACCCGAACCCGCTCTTCAGGTACCCTCCAGTCCCGGCGCACGTCCAGTTCGGCGGCAAAGCTCCTCACCCTACGGCACCAGCTCAGCAGCAGGTCATGGTGAAGAACGTGCCCAAGGTCCCGGTCGTGCGCAAGGCGACGACAGCTCCTCCCCGACGACCTCCAGTTCGGCGACAACAGTAGCACCGGCAGCGGATGCCAGTGCAGGGGCGAAGCCCGCAGGGACCGCGCAGCACCAGTTCGTGAGATTTCAAGGCTACAGGGAACCGAACGGACATCCCGAGCGGCGAGCCCAAGGCGAAGTCAACCCGGTCGTTCCCACGGTGTGGCCTCCTGGCGCCCTCCCGCCGACGACTGCTACAGGCGCCCAGTTCGCCACGGCTCCTCCGGACTATTGGGATATTACATCCCAGTGCATGGTCAGGCCTCGCTGCGGCCTTCGGCGTTGCGGGCATCGTCGTGCACACTCTCGTCACCTTTGCCGTTCGTGCAAGGACGCCGAGAGCTGAGGTCCCGTTCGGCGAGGTCATGGCCCGAGGACCCGGTACAGTATGCTCTTCTTCCCGTTCGGTGCCGTCAGGACTCTGTTTTGCACCGCCGCTTCGCCGCAAAACCCGTCAGGGCGAGCCTCGTGGGGCTGGTTCGGGGTCGGGGTTGTTCGGGTTTTCCCGTTCGGGACGGCGTGGTTCTTCGTGTCCTTGCCCGTTCGGCCCCGGTTTCCCTAACCCTTCGTCGCGTCGTTGTGCGCCGCACGTTTGCCAGTGCAGCCGGGGGTGGGCCTTGTGGGAGGAGTTCAGGGCACCCCGGTGGTTGGGTCGGTTTGCTTTGGGTTTCGGTGGTTTCCCTCCCCCCCCCCCCCCAGTTAGTGCGAGCCAGGGCTGGGCCGTCCGCCTTGTCAGCCTGAGTGGGGCGGGGACGGTGAGGTCATCAGTCCAGTTAGTGTGTCGCCGTCGCACGAGCGTTCGCTATGTTGCGCGGCAGCGCGGTTGTCCCGGCAGGGTTTCCTTTCAAGCCTTCAGGTGGTTTCTAGTTCGTGCGGCCATGGCGCCGGTACTGGTGCAGATAGTCACACGTTCGCTTCGCTGGTCCAGGTTGCAGTCTCGGTCGGTGCGGCTGATAAGCTTGAAGACCTGCGACGTGCAGGCATTAAGTCTGCGGTATAACTCTCGGCAGCACCTCGTTCGCAGTTGCGCGCGCTTTTGGGGGATGTCGTCCTCGACCGTCTGATGCAGCCGGCAGGCAAGGGTGCGGCCCGTGGGCCGGGTCAGAGAAGTGACCTTCCCGTTGTGCACCCGTACGCAAGAGGTTCTATGCAACGAATCTCGTTAGAGGGTCACGCAGGGTCCTTCGATGCGGTGGATGATGCCTTCTTGGAGGACCGTTTTGCAAGGACCTCCCGTGCGCCCATCGAGTCCCGATGGAAAACGTGGCAGCGGCTGTGTGCTGCCCGGTCCGTGGACCCATTGCCTCTGACTCAGGAAAAGATCTTCAAGGTGGGGGCCCTCTTGAAGGAGGGCAAGTACCGGTCGAGCGCCCAGTACTTTAGTGTTGCCAAACAGCGCCACCGCGAGGCCGAATATGCGTGGACAGATGCGTTGGATTTGGCGGTGCAGCAGTCGGGCCGGCACGGCTCAAGCGCGACCTGTTCGTCGATCGTGCTCCGTCTGACCTCGATGCACAGCTCCATGCAGCCTACGCGCGCTTGCAGGTGCCCGTCGAGCACCAGTTCGCCGAGCCATGTGCCGCGCTGGCTGTGGCAGTCTGGTTCCTGCTCCGAGGAATCGAAGTGGCCAATGTTCGGTGCACCGATGTGACTCTGAACCGGGGCGACCGCCTAGTTCGGTTGTCTCTGCCCGTGTCGAAGACGGATCCAGCTGCCAAGGGGTGTGAGAGGTCGCATGTCTGTATATGCAAGCCCGTTCACGATTCAGGTTGCCGGTCCGGTTGCCCTCCCGAGGTGATGTTTACTCAGCTGCAGACGTGCTCGTGTGCCGGGGGGCGTCAGCCACTGTGCCCGTTTCACGGGGCCCTCCGATTGGCCATCGGTATTCGGAAGTCCCGTCAGTGGTCCGCAGATATGTTCTTGTTCTCAGGCTCGCAGATACCCCCGAGCAAGCGCCAGGTCGCAAGGTTGGCCCAGGTCGTCGGGTTTTGTTTGCGCAACGATGCCTCCGAGGATTGGATGCTCGCCCAAATCGAGGATTGGGCAGAGCACGCGTTTCGTGTCGCAGGGGCCCAGTTGCTGGCCCGTTCGATGGTGCCCCTCCCGACCATACAGATGCTAGGCCGTTGGGGCTCCATGGCAGTGATGAGGTACGTGCAAGAAGCGGTGATGAACCAGCCTGCCATCACTGCAGCCGCGGTGGCATCGCACCTGTCAGGGGCGGCGCCAGTTCGGGCGACCGATACGTTGCGCGACCAAGTTCGCCGATTCGTGGCCGAGTGCATTGAGGGCCACGGCGTTTTTATGTTCATAATGTAAAGTCTCGTCTTGCACACAAGCCGTGCGCAGGGGAGGCCGCGGTCCCGTCAGACGAGTGGCTTTCAGTGTGCGGGAAATGGCGCTATGGCACCAGTTCATGTCTTCGCAATGCAACAGTCTTGCCAGGGTTTAAGCTTTGCTCTTCGTGCTTTCCCGACGAAGCAGTCCTGTCCGCAGTTTCTTGTCAAGACACAGGTCCCGAGCCCTCAGGTCCCGTCGCAGCAGAAGAGCCGTCCGATGACGACGACACAGCCGCCGTCGCTCCCAGTTCTCAAGGAACTGGCTGAGGACTCCGGCTTGGACGCTAAGGTTTTCCAGCTCCTCACGGACCACGGAATCACGAACTCAGGCACGTTCTTCTACACCTTTCAGGACCCGTCCGCAGTGAAGAAGCTGCTGACGCCCGCCGCGGTGGGCGAAGGGGTGAAGCTCACTACCGGCACCGCCGTCAAGCTCGACGACGTGCAGTTTATGGTGGCCCTGTCCGTGGTCGCGCGCATGGTTGACGAGATCAGGGTCGCTAAGGCTAAACGCGATGGTGCCCTCCAGTCCGCAAGTGCCCCCGCGTCGGCGGTCTCCGCAGCTTCGCCGTCGGCGTCGAAAGCTTCTAAGGTGTTGCCGGAAGGGTACTGGGCGGAGTTCCTGGCCGAATTCCAGTCCGAGAAGATCGGGGGGATCGCAAGGCAGTTCCCGACACTCCTCCTGTCCGGCGCGGACGAGGTACTGGCACGCTTGGTGCATGAGAGGGTCACCCGTTCGCACACCCCTTTGAAGTTGGGCGAGATTGTCGCGCACCGTCAGTTCACGGCATCAGGCCAGATCAACCCGTTCAGGATCAAGGAGGAGCCCGGTTCGAGGATGCTGCTCCGTGACGACGGCCTGTTCGACCGGGCGCCACGCCACGCGCGGGAACTTTACCTGCGCAGTTCCTGGACGCTGTGCATGGAGCTCAGGCAAGGTGTCCCGTTCGCCACCGCGTACAAGACCGTCGTGTCTCAGGCCAATGTGGCCGAGGCGCTTGCACGCTACCTGCCCCCCGACTCCAAAGGCAAAGGCGGGAAAGGCGAACTGAAAGGCAGGTTTAGGGCGACCCAGTCCGAAGCGGAGGGCGACCCGCGCAAACGCCCGGGACCGTACCGGACGAGCACAGGCAAGGCTACAGGTTCTCAGGCCTCAGGTCAGGCTCAGCAGAGTGGCGTGCCTCAGTGCCGTTTGTTCGCGGCTGGCCACTGCAAGTTCGGTGCGTCGTGCAAGTTCGCTCATGGCGCGCAGCAGCCGCCACACCACACACCCAACAAGCCCCAGCCGCCAGTTGTCAACCCCGCTGCCTAGGGACAGCTCGGAGCGCCCCCGCCGCCAAGGGCGCCACCCGTTCTTCCCAGTGGGCGGCCACCTGCAGCACCCGCCGCGCTGCCCCTCCCCCCTAAGGCCCCCGCACCAGTTAGGCTCCCTAATCCCGTGTCCCCTAAGTCAGCCCCGTCGCAACCGTTGCCTAAGAGCGTGCCCACTACGGTGTCCGTGCCTCAGATACGAGCACCCGTTCCCTCCGCTCCCGCCTGGCCTCCCGCAGCAAACGACCAAGTCCGAACCTTTCACACAGCTGCGACCAGTTGCACTGCTGAGCTTTTTCGATGGCATAGGCGTCGCGGCACAGGCTTTGAAAACCCTGTGCGTCGAGCCCGTCTTGTACTTCGCGTTCGAGACAGACGTGGCCTGTCAGCGCTGCTGCACCTCACAACACTGTTCAGTCGAGCATCAAGGGGATGCCCTCACATGCAGTCGACCCAAGTCGTTTGGCGTCTACCCTGAAAACCCGTTGCTCTCCGGACACTGTCCTGTTAGTGTGCGCGGCACCTCCATGTCACGACTTTAGTGCCATTCGGGGCGCGTCTTCCCCAGGGGTCGCGGGCCCAGAGGGTGCAAAGTTCGTTTCCTGGTCGAAGTGGTTACAGCAGTTCGCATCAGTGTGCACCCTGCAGTTGGTTCTTGTCGTCGAGAACGTTTTGATGCAGCCAGACATCCAAGACCTTTTCGACAAAGAACTGTGCTGCAAGTCGTTCGTTTGTGACGCCGCGTCCTGGTCGGTTGTGTCACGGCCACGCCTTTGGTGGGTGAGCGACCTGTGCCCGCCCAAGGCCAACGAGCCCACACTCACACCAGCGTCAGTGTGCGGTGGACTTGCACGCTGGCGCAAGTACAACCGGTTTTGGCAGTTGCTACCGTCCAGTCCAGTTTTCCCCAAGCAGGTCGCGTCCACCTGTTCGACGGCCGCTTTTCACACTGAGGTTGTTGCCGGCCGGGTTCTTCTCTCTTGTATTACAACTCCCGCACCCAGTCCGGCCGGGCGCCCGCCACCGCCCAAGCGACGACGCAGCGAGTCGCCGGGCACCATGGCGAGGTGGAAAGAGGGGTCGCAACAATACCCCCCGTGGCAATATTGCAAGACTGCTCTCGTCCGGATTGCTGGGGTCGATCGCCCGCCAGACGCGCCGACACGCGAATGGCTTCAGGGTTTGCCTTCGGGGTACGCCGCGGTGTGCTCTGAACAAGAGCGTTGCACGCAACTCGGCAACTCGTGGCACTTGTCCGTTGCCCGCTTGCTCCTGTGCTTGGTCCTGGTCCAGAGTCAGGCGTTGTCGGTGTCAGCGTGTGCTCCAGGTTGTTGGTACCCGTCCGTTCCGGACCCTACTGCAGAGCTGCGTTTCCACCCGGACGGGAGTCGCCCTCTCGTTCGCGCTGCGTCGTTTTGGCACCGGTCGTCCTTGTCTTGGGACCCCCGTGAGCCGACCCTGCCGGTGCTGTCTGGCCCAACCGACGACCCGTTCGCTCACTTGGACTGGGCTTTGGGTTTGGACTTTCTGGCCTTGTTCCTTGTTAAGCTCAACCCGTGTCTTCAGTGGTGCTACGAGTCACAGCCTCTCTTCCAAGGCAAGCTTCCCGAGTGGCGTCAGTCCGTGTGCGACGACCTGTCCGCGTTGGTCGAGGAACTTCGCGAAGAACAAGAGTCGTGGTTTCTTGTCGCACCTCAGCACGTTCGACAGGTCTACTGCAGAGGCCAGGCAACACTGCAGGTGCACCTTTTGGCGTTGACTTGGCTTTTGGACTTGCTGCAGTTCCCAGGTCGCCGGGCGTTGGTCACCGAGATGTTCTGGAGGTTCCCTTTGCTCGGTCCGCTTACCCCAGGCACGGGGTGGGCCCCCAGGTCAGACTACAAGTACTCCCGTCCGTTGTCTCCAGCTGAGTTCAGGTCGGCAAATCGGGCGCACGTGGCAGAAGTCGTCTCTTCTTTGAAGTCTGGTGAGCACTCCGAAACCATGTTCGAAGAAATCCTCGAGGAGTGTAAACGTGGTCGCGTTGCTGGCCCTTTTCCGGCCTCCAAGCTCCTCCTCCAAGACACCAGTTCGTGTGCTTCCCGTGCGTTCCCGGTCGTTCAAGGTGGTAAAGTCAGGCGTGCCGACGACTGGTTGCGCAGTCACCACAACGCGACAGTGTGGGTCTCAGACTCTCCTGCGTATTGTGGGGTGGATACCCTCGCTAGCTGCATCCAGTCCGCACCTGTTCGGCAGAACATGTTGCTCAGCGCGGTGGATCACGAAGGGGCATACAGAGGGCTACCCGTCCGCTCACCAAGTGAATGCGGCGTAATCCTTCCCGTTCAGAAGGATCGCTGCCTGTTCGTGCACAACAGCCTCCCGTTCGGCAGCACGGGGAGCGTGTGGTCTTACCTCAGGGTGGCGGACGTGCTCTCGTTCTTGGCGGTCAGCCTCCTGTTCGTGCCCTCCGCCCACTTTGTCGACGACTTCCACCAGTCCGAATCCGCCGACGTAGCCGACTCAGGTTTTCAGAGTTTTAAGCTCTTTCACAGCACGTTAGGGTTCAGGATGAAGGTGGCCAAGGAAAAGCGACCTTCTTGTTCGCACACGTTGCTGGGAGTGCTGTGGACGATCGTCCAGGACGGCGTGTGGGCTAGCCCCGGCCCGGAGAGGGTGCAAAAGCTTGTGGACTCTCTGTCCGAGTGCCTGCAGAGAGGTACCTGTTCAGGCGCCCTGGCCGCTCGCCTCGCAGGGAAACTAACGTTCGTGTGCGCTTGGGTGTTCGGGAAGGCAGGTCAGGCTCTGTTGAAGCCCCTGTACCGCAGACAGCACAGTGGGAGTACTGGCGAGGCTGAGTTGCCGCCCGCTCTGCGAGTTAGCTTTCGACTCCTGGTCGAACTCTTGCCAGCTTTGAAGCCGAGGTTCCTTCCCAACCTCTCCCGTTCTGTGAGTATGCGTGTCGCTAAGCTGTACGCTGATGCCTTCATCACCATGCATGGCCAGCGCCGTTGCACCAACCGGTGGATGGACGACAGCACTGCCCTACAACAACTGCGTGAGTCTACCAACGGATGGGGAGCCATCTACATAGGCCCGTCCGACCAGCGATGGAGCTTTCGCGCACAGGTGCCAGAGTCAGTTCTGCGCCGGTGCTGTACCAGCCGAGACTACATCTACTGGTTGGAGCCAGTCGCTCAGTTGATCTCCCTGGCAGTTGTCGCAAGAGACCAGTTCGACTGCATAGTCTGCTTTGTCGACAACACCGCCGCAGAGCACGTGCTGAACAAGGGCACGTCCAAAAAATCCGAGTCTTTGCTGGTTAATCGGTGCCTTTTGGGTGTGGGTTGCCCGTCAGGGTTTGTTTGTCAGTTTTCAGCGGGTCACCAGCCAGGCAAACCTGTCAGACAAGGTCTCAAGGGGCGACTTTTCAGAGGCGCACCAGTTAGGTTGCAGACGTTTGGAGCCCCAGTTCGAGACCGCGTGGCAGCCTCTTCTTCGACTGCAGCAGGAACCTGCGAGCTTGCAGGCGTGGGACTTCCAGGCCGTG